GGGGGGGAATAAGGAAAACAATGGGCCGCTTTAGTTCCGGTATCCTCGGCCAAGACCTATGCCTACATAATATATTATTTTTAAAGTTGAAGAAATCTGGCATTTTAAAAATAGTGCTCGATCTGCCATATTGTAATTCGAGTTAATCTTTAAATTACAAACAGTTGTTAGATTTTTAATTTTTTTTTCTCCTACTAAATAGTGGTAAATCTGTAAACATTGTTTTTGTTTAGATTCGAATAAAATATGAAGCTAAATATGATATACTGCAGCACTATTTGAAACGAAATGAATGAACGAGCTTCATTCCTTCTTTCCTTTTTAAAAACTCTGTCGGACAGTCGGACTGCCCTCAATCCTGGCAACCATTCCTCTTCACTAGGAAAAATATGATGGCGCATCAGTGAGGAGCTTGTCTGAATACGATTGATTGTGAACGTCCTGAAGAAAAAAAGGTTTGACCAACAGCAAGATGTCTAAAAGAAAGAAGGCAGTCAATATGATTGATTCTGACAGCGACGAAAGCGGGAGCGGAGGAGAAGATGTTGATGAAGTACGATAAGAAGAAAAATGAACGTTGTGTCTTGTGTTTGTATTTGTATTTTGGCTTTCTTGTATTTTTACCTCCACTCCACACCACATTCGCATTCGGCAGCAACACAACACTGACACAACAGCCCTCTACACCAACTCATATGAAATCCTGTTGTTTGCACTCGCACTTGTTTTGTGTAATCCTCCTCCTCAGCCCCATCTCATGTAATGTGTTGTCCCATATCTTGTACTTTTCCATTCACATTACTCTAGACTAGATCTAGAAATCTAGATCTAGATTGTAGTTTGTTAGACTAGAAATCTAGATGTAGATCTAGATCTAGATCTAGATTCTAGATCTAGATTTAGGTCTAGCAAGTCTGTGTTTGATGGGGTGGTCGCTCGTTACGGAAGTCCTTCTGTTGAAAATGTTCAAATTCAAAGGGAGAATTCTGTGACGAGCGACCACTATGAATAGAGAGGGGATTTGATTATGGTTTGGGTTTGGTACAAGCCAGGCTAAAAAGGGTAGGGGGTAGAGTTGGGGTCAAGACCAGGGTTAAAGTTGGGTCTCTTCTTTATTGTGTATGTTGAGGTGGTCGCTGGTTACGGAAGTCCATCTTGAAAATATCAGTGTCTCTAGAAACTCAAAAAGCTTTGCAGGGTCCAAGGGTTGTATATATATATATATTATAATATATATGAGCAATTGCCAAAACGTGGGGAAAAACACATAACATCTCACATTAGTGTGCATAAAATGTGATGCATTAGTCAGTATTTACTCCTCCAAAACTTATACATATGTTAAATATAGGATGTAGAACCTGCATTAGCAGTTTCAGACCCAGTGTCAGCTTTATAATCTTGAGTTTGTAATTTTTTTGCCAAAAATGTTCGTTTTTTGTGTGATTCCTGGACTGTCATTTTGAGCACACCAATGCAATCTTCCAAGAATGTCCCAAATTTAGTATTTTTGGGTGTTTTTTTTTAACCTGCGCTTTGATTCTATGCTATTTGTGATCGAGAAAGGTTCACTTGCTCAAGAAATCGGTTTATTTGTTTGCAAATAAACGAATAATTTGGATCACTTGTGCGTCAGTGGTGTTGTCACGGACTAGGTGTTTCAGAAAACATTATTTTTCAGTAGAATCACCACAGCTGGTTAAATCTTTTTGCTTTTCGTCGTTTATTCAATAGTTCAAAAGCCGCGATGCATGAAAGGAACATCGGGTTCCTAGATCTATGATTTCGGTCGGCTGTTTTACATTCGCCGTTATTGGCGTCACTTTGCGACGTACTGGAAGTCCGGAATTTAGCCTACTTTTGTTTTGAACGGATCATCAACAGTGCCTGGATATAATTGTTTTCTTGAGTGACTTCCCCTTACCCGCTTCCCCAGAACAGCGGAAGCAACGGGGGAAAGAGAAAACCGAAAGTAGTCATTGCCGTCAGCCTCCGGTTACGCACAAGAATCTTGCGTTGAATGTGATGTCAACTGGACTGTTTTGCGTGTTTTTAGGCTACCCTATAGAATATTTTAGTGAAATTGCGGTGTTTACATTGGATTCCTGGAAAAAGAGTGTGATGTGTGAACAAACTTCGAGAGGTGGATCATTTCTGTGGTTATAGATTTAGCTTTTGTGCTTAGTGATGACGTTTGGGGTGTCGTCATGCAGCCGTACAAGACTGACTGACGTACTAGAAATTACATTGTCCTTAGAGCAAACATTTTTTATGTCATGTGTGCTCTTTTTACTCAAACAAATAGACAAACATGTCCTTGTTTATCTGTCTAACTCAAAGTACACATTTGTTCTTTGTTGGCATGATATGCCTTTTTCCAATACATTGTGTTATTGTGTCATCATTGTTATGTACAAGTAATATTTTTCATAATTGCTAATATCAATAAGTTTTCAACATATATTTCATACATGCAAAATTCATTTAGAAACAAAATACGCCTCTATTGATCTGTGTATCTCATAGTGCAAATTTGTTCTTTGTAGGCATGATTTTACCTTTTCCCAGTATGTTTTGTCATCACCGTATGTACGAGTACTGTTTGTCATGATTAGCAACGTAATTGTGATTGTCCACTGTCTTTGATATGATCTGATATGTTTCAAAGCAAAAGAAACCTCTCCTGGGTTTTTTTTTAATTCTTAAAGTGCGCATTTCTCTCTGGAGGCATGACTTTGTCTTTTCCTGTACATTGTGTCATCATTGTTATGTACTAGTCATGTTTGTCATCACTGTTATGTACAAGTCAGCCCTATTGATTTTGTGCTTTTGCCTCATATTAGTTAAAAAATTGTTTTACACATGTTTTTTTCTGGTGCTGAGGCTTTGATAACTGTATTTGTACAGCCTTTCCACTATTGTGATGTGTTGTCAATGATAATGTCCAATGTGTATCCTTTCTTGTACATAACAATGATGACATGTTCTGTGCACTGCGTCATTGTTACAATGCTTGTCTTTCATATTACCATTATGAATGGAGTTCATAGTGTACAAAGTGTTTGTTTACTAAACAAATGGAATTTAAAGTCTATAATTTGCCTTGCTGCTTATCTGTTTTTGTCATCACTGTTACATACAAGAAATACAGTGGTTGCGAAACCAATAGACCCATATCTCCAAAACCTTACATCTCCTATATATTATATAGACAGAGAATTCAGCCTTCTAGAGGAGTTGAGAGAGAGAGGGGGGGGGCACAATAAGTTGAATAAGAACCCAGTAGGCCTACTGTTGAAGTTGCCCACAGCCCCTGTCAGTCAGTAATCTTACTCTTTCAGCCTATGTCAAAGTTGCCCCATGCCGGGGGTCGAATTTGCACCACCCCCTGTCGAAGTTGCCCAAGCGAGGTTATGCCACAAAATCGTGATTGGTTAATAATTCAGAATGCAAATTGAAATAGAGTAAAGAACATAATAATCGAGAAGTAGAATGGCTGCTCGGCACAACGATACCAAGATAGTCTGTGTTCTTTCATAAAGGTGGGAGAAGTATCGGTTACTTTTGTGGCACTACACAAACCTGTCGAAGTTGCCCCAACTTACCCTACAACACATCACAATAGTGAAATGCTGTACAAATACAGTTTATCAAAGCCTCAGTACCAAAAAAACACATGTGTAAAACAATTTTAAACTAATTTGAGGCAAAAGCACAAAATCAATGGGGCTGACTTGTAAGACAGTGATGACAAACATGACTTGTACATAACAATGATGACACAATGTACAGGAAAAGACAAAGTCATGCCTCCAGAGAGAAATGCACACTTTAAGAATAAAAAAAAAACACAGGAGAGGTTTGTTTTGCTTTGAAACATATCAGATCATATCAAAGACAGTGGAAAATCACAATTATGTTGCTAATTATGACAAACAGTACTCGTACATAACAGTGATGACAAAACATACTGGGAAAAGGTAAAATCATGCCTACAAAGAACAAATGTGCACTATGAGATACACAGATCAATAAAGGCGTATTTTGCTTCTAAATGAATCATGCATGCATGAAATATATGTTGAAAACTTATTGCTAATAATGCCAACAAAGAACAAATGTGTACTTTTGAGATAAACAAGGACATGTTTGTTAATTTGTTTGAGTAAAGAGAAGCACATGACATAAAAAACGCTTGCTCTTAGGACAATGTAATTTTGTAATTTCTTGTTTGTCACTCAGTCTTGTACGGCTGCATGATGACACCCCAAACGTCATCACTAAGCACAACAGCTAAATCTATAACCACAGAAATGACCCATCTGTCGAAGTTTGTTCGCAGATCACACTCTTGCTCCAGGAACTTGACCTTGACCATCAATCTTCTTCTTCTTCTTCTCTATCGCATCACACTTGAAGTCTGGTATCTGTCATAAATTGGGCCGTCCTGCTCAGTTCATCTGAGGCCCGTATAGCTTCACTTGCAGCGTCAGTGGGGTTGGCCACGTTTCCTGTCTCAGGGCCCTGTGTGTCTTGCAGTGCTGAAGGATGTGTTCAACAGTTTGGTCCGCCTCTCCACACTGGCATTTTGGTGATTGTACTAGTTTAAAACATTTGTACATATGTTGTCTCAGTCTTGTGTGTTGTGTCCTTAGTCTGGAGATAATCACTTGTTCTTGGCGGGACAGCTCATGGTAGCCATCTGGCGTCTGAGGTGCTTTAAATAGTGTATTTCAAATAGTTTTTATTTCTGTGTAGTTAACGCTGTTGTCTGGTTGCTCTTTCTGTGCTCCTAGTTTGTGAACGTCAATGATTTATTTACAGAGGCACCAGCCATCCATGTCCAGGTGCTGTTTTAGCCTCTTTTTCCTGTCTGCGGATTAATAATGTTTTTTTGCCAATTTATTGGTTCCGCTTCTGTGTACCCCATATCTATGGTTCTCAACCTGGAAATCGCCTATAATTCGCTGTAATTGCCCCCCCCCCCCTTCCCCCTACCATTTCTCATCAGTCTCCCCCCCCCCCCTTATAGTGTCATCATTTATGTTACCGTCTATTTTTATCGATAACACGATTATGGATTAAGGGCAGTATTAATGATAATTAAGGGAGAAAAAAAATCAATTAAATGATAAATAAATAATAAATAAATAAATAAATAAATAAATAATGCTAATGATGATCATAATACAAATATTGATAATGAGAAGAAGAAGAAGAAGAAAAATGGTCATAACGTCAATATCAAAAACAACAATACTAACAATAGAATTGATTTGAGTAAAATAATGAAATAATATTAAAATAATAAATGCAGTAATGTTATTATAAATCAAAATTTCTAAAAGGACACTACTTGGAATCTGCTGATTGTATGGGATCAGATACCTTGTATGAATACGTTGAATTAGATAATTCAATCCATACAATTTGAGGTTATATCTTCAGATTACCATCCTTTTTTTTTCAAGAGGAAAGCAGATGTCTATTCTCATTTTGTGTTTGGTCATTCTATTGAGTTGTTCCAGGAATCCAATGTAAACACCAAATTTTCGCTAAAATATTCAACAGGGTAGCTTAGAAACACGCAAAACAGTCCTATATGTCACATTCAACGTAAGGTTCTTGTGCGTCACCGAACGCTGATGACAATTACTACTTTCGTTTTTCTCTTTCCGACGTTGTTTCCACTGTTCTGGGGAAACGGGTTAAGGGAAGTCACTCGAGAAAACAATTATATCCGGGCACTGTTGATGATCTGTTCAAAACAAAAGTGGGCTAAAATTCGGACTTCCGGTACGTCGCAAAGTGACGATTATCACGGCAAATGTTAAACAGCCGGCCGAAATCGTAGATCTAGGCACCTGATGTTCCTTTCACGCCACAGTTTTTGAAATATTGAATAAACAATGAAAAGCAAAAAGATTTAACCAGCGCAAGTGTCTAAAATCCTGTCTAGTCATATAGTATAGCTTGCTGTTTAACTTATTTCTTGTTGTTGTAATTTTAGATCAATTAAACTGATATGTCGCGACTTCAGTGCTTTCTTATCGTGTTCCTAAAACTATGTGCGTGGGTGGCGAGTTTTCCGCTGTGGTTTTCTCCTTTTTTCCCGACAAACGTATGGTCCTTATTAAATCTCACCTCCTTTTCAGTGTTTGTCACTCTCTAGTAACACTTTTAATCTTGGGCAGCAGGTATATGACCAGTTTGTGTTGCAAGTGCCGTATAACTTACTGAAATGAAATGTGGCCCTCATAGTAAAGTGTAACAGTTGTGTAATAACTTTTCTTTGACAGGGCCTTCTTTTTCTTGCAAGTGCCGTAAAACTTTCACAAAAACTAGTGAAATGTGGCCCTCATAGTAACACATAGTGAAGTGTGACAGTTGTATATAGAATCTATAACTTTCCCCCCCGAGGCAGTGCCACTGACTGAAGCGTCTTTAGGCCATTCCCAAAGGGGGGACATTTCTCGTTCAAGCATAGTAGAATTGTAAATGGGCTGACTCATGTCACGCTCATAACTGTGCCTGATCTACAACAGGGAACTGCTTTTTCTTTCCTGATCCTTACTATTGTCATTTTCCTCTACTTCTTTTGTATGTTTGTCACTCTCTTTTGACCCGCTTTTTCCGGGGTGCCTTGATAGTCGAAGCAGACCTTATGCTGTTGAAGCTAGAGAGGTGAGCAGTGAAACTCTGATTCCCTGTAAGGACTTCTCTGTTGATACCCATCCCTTGGCGCTCATATGACCTTATGCAGTTGCGAGCGCCGTAAAACCCTCTACTATAAAAAAAATAAAATAAATATAATGATATATATAACGTTTCTCTGACAGGGCCTCCGAGCTTTGGTGAAGAGGAGGAGAACTAGCTCGGACTCTCATTCTGAGGCCAAAGCAAATACGACCAACGCCAAGAGTGATTCCGACTCGGACACCTCCAACAGCGATGATGATGTAAGTGGTTTGGATTGTTCCTCTTGCTCTCTCTTCATCCATGGATTTGTGTGTGTGCTTTGGACCTTTATTGGTGTCTTTATACTGTTTGAGGAAGAAACGATAAAACAATTTTGTTGATATATTGATCTACCGTATTTCTTACACGTAAGATTTCCGGGGAATAATTCATTCATGAGTGGACATAGATCTCTTTCCTGGGTTTGCGGTTGCCCTCTGATCAACAATTACTTTGAGGAGAAGAATAATACAGGAAGGTGTAGTTACAGTTTCTGGGGTGTGGTGTGAAGTTAAAGCTACTAAGTGAATCACATAAAAAATAATCACACAATTCTTTTCCTATAATCTGTATCATTTTCATTTTATTGTTTTCATTGCAACTTATAAATATTTGATAATAAATTGTACTGTTGCATAATAGTTTTGAGAACGAGAGTGAGTGTCTATGTGCACTGCATTAACTTTATGCTTTTGAGGTAGTTGATTTACTGTTGAAAGATAAGACTGAGCCATAATGATTTACTTTTTATGTAGTTTTTAACCGTTGAACATCTTCTCCTTCACTGCCCAAACCTGGCAGGTCTTCGACGCAAGCTCCTACACACACCTACAGACTTACAAAGCCTTCTCTACTCTGGCGTTGACCAGATGACAAAGACAAGTGGTTACTTGAGGGAGGCATTGCGCTGCCAAGAGCGAAATGCTCGCAGCTAAAGGGATTTGAAAACAACAACAACAACATGTAGTTTTTATAAACCCCTTTTACCTCTTTGGTTCTTTCAGTGGACTGTCAATGGCAAGTCGGGGTCAAAGAAGAAAGTCAAGACGAAGAAGCCCCAAAAGAAAGCTATTGCTTCCTCTGATAGCGAGGAAGAGGAGGAAGCCAAGAAATCAGCCTCAGAGCCGGAAGAAGGTGTGTGGTGTTGGGCTTGGTGTGTTAATGGAGAATTGCAGTTTAGTTTTTTTCTTGCTTCAAACAAAATGTTCTTGATCTTGAAATGTCTGTATTGACGGAATGTTTACTCCCACCACAGGCCTCGGTCTGAAAATAAACTCCACTCATTAAGAGAAGAGGAATAAATCTGTATAAACATAAAGAATATTTTGTAAGAAATTGTGTATAAAGGCAACTAGACATGATGAAAATATGAAATAAACTGCAAAATATAGGTATACGTTCAAAGTTTTAATTTAAATAGCAGTGAATGTTTCTTGGTATGTCCCTATTTTCTGGTAGATGAAGGATGGTTCTTTCATGACATCTAGTTTTGCCTTCTCTTGTTTTTCTTCTTCCTGGTTGTCTGATCAGCAACTGTATTTTTATATCTCAATCCTCATTAATGTCCGACTCCTCTTTCTGACTAGGCATCAGCCCTTAGTTCATTTAATCCTTTCCTTCCTTGTTATTATAACCATATAGTTGACCATATGACCATTACGGGAAAGATGAATAATATCCAGATCCAAGCTCTTGGGGGGGGGGGGGGGGTGTGAGGGGGAAAAAGCAGTGGTTGGTTTGCAGGTGTTCTGGTGTGGTTTGCTTCTTCTTTCCTATCGAACATCTATTGTCCTGATCTCTCCTCCTTCTTTTTTATGTTTGTTACTCTCTTGTAACACCTCTAATCTGCGGCACTTATATGACCTTATTGTGGTGCAAGTGCCGTAAAACTCTTACTAAAACTAAAACTAAAACCAGCAAGAGATTCAAACGTTTGCATATTTCTTTCTAGTGGCTTGTTTGGGAATTTCAAATTATCTGCAGGAACCAGAAGATCTCGGCAAAGCAAAAGTTACACCGACATTGTTACTTGATCGAGGCTTTTTTTATAGTCAGTTATGGGGAGCACAGAAGTATCAGGCGACAATGATTGGCCTAGGTGCATAAGGGGGTGCATGTAATGATCGACTTTGGATTTTACCAATCTTTTCTTGAAAACTGAAACAAGATAAAAACTGATGAAAACATGATGACCTATAGTCTGTGTGTTTGATGTGTTCGAAGTGAATATGTTACAGGTTTATTCTTGCTTTACATTTAGAGGAATTTAAGGTATTAATTATTTTGGTGTTGGCTTTTTCCTCATTGAAGGTGAAGTATCTGACTCGGGAAGCGATGACTCGGATTCTGACGAAGATAAATTTCATGATGGCTACGATGAAAATCTTATTGGTGATGACGAGGACAAGAAAAGACTGGAAGCCATGACAGAGAAAGAAAGGGAACAGGAGCTCTTCAACCGTATGGAAAGGAGAGCTGCCTTAAAGAAAAGGTAATGGTAGTTGATGGAGGTGATTCCGGTGCCCATTCAGTGCTTGTGGGGTGTCACGTTATGTACTGGTCTGCACTAGTAAGTTTTGTCATTTTAGCCATTGTTGAAGCAGGTCATTCAAGTAATGGTGTTAGATTGTAAAAATGAGGATGCTTAAATTGGTTGACAATTGCACCACTTTGAATTTGTCTAAATTTGAGTACTTTTCCTTTGCAAAGTTCAATTTACAAGAATAGAAGTTATAGGAATTATATTTGGAAAACTGAAGGCCATCATCTTTCTAAGCCTCTGTACTCATTATATTCAACGTTTGTGTTGTTTCAGATTATCAGTTGTCTTTTATATCAATGTCAAAGTAACTGGCTTGAAATGTAATTTTGTTATTGAAAATGCTTTCACATCTTATGATGCTATCTTTGCAGTTATTTGTTGGGTCTTTATCCCATATGTATGCTTCCTTTTATCAGGTTTGAAATTCAGAAGAAGTTGAAAAAAGCAAAAGCTGCACAGAAAAAAGTCAAGCCATCGTCAGATCCAATGTTGCCAACAGTGAGTGAAAGGAGTAAAGAGAGGAGGAAGCACATTGAGCAAAGGAAGGACAACAAGAAAACGTCAGCCTTCCAAGATCTCAAAGCAAAGAGAGAAGAGCAAAAAAAGAAAGGTAGGAGACAAAGCCTGGTAGTGTTCTGACTGCACTTGTGTGGGGTTGATCAGTGGCTGACTTACACAGCAGTTTGAGCTGTGGATGTTTGTCTGCTTGCTTGTGGCGTCTGCTACTTCTACCTTTTTTTCTGTGCTGCTAGTTTTCTTTTCATTCTTGGCAAAATGTAGCCATTATCTCAATGGCTGGATAATTCTTATTTGTTTTGCCGTGACCTTTTTTGGTTAAACAATTTTTGTATTAGTTGATGTGCAAAACGTTTGGGCTTCAAAGATGTGCTTGGTCTTGTAAGAATTTGTGATATTTTCATGCAAGATTATTTTAAATTTGCAAATGGCTCCTACAAAATAACGAACTGAATAACAGTAGTTATTATTCTTTAGAAGTGTAGGGTTCATATGTTTAAAATTGATGATGATTTTGAATGACTGCAGAGTGGTTAAAAGATCCTCTTTTATATTCTAAAACTTTTTGTTTTTAATAAGTCCAATGACTGAGACTGCCATATCTTTACCTGACTACTATTTGTTGGGTTAACCACAAGACTTGTCATGAACACTCTTTATTTCTCACACTAGCCGAACAGATTCAAGCACAGAAGAAGATAAAGGCCAGTGACATTTACAGCGATGACGACGACGATGATGATAACAGCAGCGCTGACGAGAAGAGTGACAAAGAAGAGAGAAAGAAAGAGACAAAAGTGAGCCGGGCCAGCAGTGTGGAGAGGGCAGACTCCGACTCGGAGGCCAGTGAGAGAGAGTCGTCCCGCTCCGAGTCAGAGGAAGAGGAAGTGTACGTGGTTTTTGCCTCTTTTAAAAAACCTGATAACGAGTAACAAATCGCGACCTCAGTGCTTTCTTGACATATCTCCATTTTTTTTAACAGTGAAAAGGTGACTTCTACTTAAGTTCACTCTTTGTTATGAACTGTTTTCACCGTTATTAAAAATGGGGATACGACAAAAAAGCACTGAGGTCGGGAAATGTTAGGAATGTTGTATTCTGTGTGTGTTGGAAAGTTGGGGGGAGGCGTGTGTGTTGGGTCCAGGTGGGGGGCAATCTGAATCGATATGTTTTTAAGAACTCTTATCAGTTTGCGCTAACACCAGTATACACTAATATGAGATATCAACTTACTTACTTTCTACCCGTTACGCCATTTGGCGTTTTGGGCAGCAACAAAAGATCTCCAGCTCTGTCTGTTTTGGGCCATCTTGGTCAACGTCCCCCACGAATGGTTCCAGGACTTGAGGTATCAAAATACTTATAAATTGGCATTTTGTCGGTTCTAATTGCTTGTCACACAGGCAATTCTAACACGAAGGGTTGATTCTTGTTATATTTGTGATCGTCTGTGTTTAGTATTCTCCTTTCTCTTCAGTTTTACTAGGACTTTCGTGTTATTGCATGGCATTTGTTAGAGGTCCAAAAATGTGAAAAATAGCCAATGTAAAAAAGTTATTATATCTTCTTACTTTAGAATTTTGTGATATTTGGAAAAGTAACTGTGTGTAATATTTCCCTCCTTGACTTGGTGCAACAGGAGCCGGCCAAGACACAGGAAGATCAAGTACATAGCAACCAAAGAGGAGCTGAGTCGGATACGATTGTCCAGAAATAAAGTGGAAAGGTGAGAATACGATACTCTGTACAAGTTCTGCCAGTCTGCACTTGTGATTCATGTCGTCATTGACTCATTTCATATCGTTTGAGAAAACATCGACTTTACCTTCTGTAATAAAGTATGAAGACTTCTTTTTGTAAAGAAAGCTATGTTTTGTATTGTAGTTGGGTTTTTTTCCCAAATTTCTGAGGTTTTGTGAGAAATTTGTCATTCATTCATAGTTGCTTAAATATTTTCAGAATTAAAATTAACATTGTAGCTTTGATAACCATAGTGGGTAAACTGATGATTAGATTACAGTGAAACATGCTTTAATGGCCGCAAGTCCAAGACAATCACTTGAGCAAACAACCACTTCCCATTTCCCTCCTTGTGCTTTTTCTATGATAACGACACTGTCCAAGACTTCCACCTGTGTGAGACAATCTCCTTTCTCCTCAACTATGGGTGGCTGTTTGAGACTGTACTTGTCTTTGAAAAAAAAAGCTGTCTGTGTCGTAAAGCTGTTTCACATAACTACTTCGTGTCATGTATATCATTTTGTTACATCTTTCTTTTTTCCATACAAAGTATTAATTTGTTATGCCCATGTCTCTCTTTTGAGTATAGCAAGAACTCGGAACTGCTCTAGACTATGATGCCTGCTCAAGAGCAGAGTTGTTTCACTCAAGCAGTGGTTCCAGAGGTGATGCCTCACTCCTATTGAGCTGAAACGCTTTTCATGCTTTCTGTTTTACTTTTCGTGTTTGTTGCTTTTCTTTTTTGTGGTTTGTTTTTCTGTTAAAGAGATAGTATGCTGAGAAATTGTTTCCTTTTATTTACAGGTGGTGCCACATGCCATTCTTCAAGAAAGTTGTCTGTGGCTGTTTTGTTCGTATTGGAATCGGCAACCATGATGGCCGGGCCGTGTACAGGGTAAGACGCTGGAAGCTGAGTTTGTCTATGTGTTCAGTTTGTCACCATGAGTACTAAGACATATAGATTATAATGATATAGTTTGTTTTACCAATTCAGTGTTAGTGTCAGCTTACTTTTTTATTTTTTTAAATGACAAGATAAGCAGCGAATTCAGGTCCTTGTTTTCTTTTATGATGAATGTGGCGAAGGAACAGATAAGCTGCACTGGTGATAACACGCTTTTTTTAGATTAATCTACGTTCTTGAGTTGTAAATTTCAAGACATAACATTGAAGTATTTGTTCTTGTTCATGTTATCTTTTCCCTTGTTTAGCTTCCGTTGCATAAAATTTAAGTGTAATTTTAAAGAAGTTAGCTGGACATATATGTTGAGTTTTGGTTCTTGATAATAGATGAGTTGTCAGCAAATGAGTTTATCTTACCCAATCGTCTTTTATTGTGATTTTGATGGCTGTTGACATTTCTCTTTTTTAGTGATTGAATCTTTGAACAGTCCTTGAGGCAGTGAATTTTATGCTTTCAGGTTGCAGAGATTGTCGATGTAGTTGAAACAGCTAAGGTTTACCAGCTGGGAGGCACACGTACGAACAAAGGGCTGAAGTTAAGGTAAGCAGTGGGTTCTGTCTGGTAGACTGCCGGGTGGGGGAGAGAGTACAGTCAAACCTGCTCTAATGAACACCTGTCCAAGACAATCGCTTATACATAAACCTCCCCTTCCCTGAATGTTTTTTATATGACCCTGTCCTTGAGGACCACCTTTCTAAGATGACCATTTTTCTCCTCGGCAATGGATGATTGTATTAGACAGGTTTGAATGTACACCTACAGTGACACCTGCTCTAACAGTCACTTGTCTTAAGACGTTGAGACGTTGACCTGTACAAATGGCCACTTTCCATTTCCCCCTTGGGCTTTTTCCAGTCTATAATGACACTCTGTAAGACAGCTTTTTGGCTCTTCAACAAGTGGCGGTCATCTTGGACAATTTCAACTGTATTTGATGAGCAGGGTGCTTTGTGATTTCATGTTTAGAATGATGCCCAGGATTAATCTAGATTCCCTTGGGTCTGTTCTGAAGGGCGACTGCTGCCTTTGTTTATTTTGTCCCCTCGACAAGTACGTGCTCTGCCCACGGTGTGAGTGGTGGGTGGTTGGTGGGTGTTCTGGTGTGGTTTGCTCCTTCTTTCCTATTAAACATCTATCGTCCTTATCCCCCCTCCTTCTATTTTGTGTTTGTTACTCTCTTGCAACACCTCTAGTCTTCGACACTTATATGACTTTAATGTGTTGCAAGTGCCGTAAAACACTTACTCAAACTAAAACAGTGTGAGTGTGACATTTTTTTGTCTGTTTTCCCCCCCAGACACGGTGCTGCGGAACGTGTGTACAGGTTAGAGTTTGTGTCCAATCAAGATTTCTCAGACTCGGAGTTCAACAAGTGGAGGTACACCATGGAGTTAGGGAATCACACACTGCCCACCCTCGACGACATACAGAGGAAGGAAGATGACATCAAACAGGGGTACGAATACAAGATCAAAGACAAGGATATCGAAGAGGTGAGCGGTCAGTCGTTAGTCTTCCTCGCAGCTTTCCTGGGAGTGTCTGTTGTAGTTGAGTGTGTTGAGTAGGGAGGCTGGTCTTTTTGGATGCTGTTATATTTTAACCCTATCCGTACGCCCTGGGGTCATTTTGTACCCCCGGGATTGTATTCTTCACATTTTAGAATACATCCTCTGTGAAGATCTCTTTGAAACTTTCTGTATTTCTCGAAAAAAAATTGGACAGACTTGCTATGCAAAGCGTACAGATCGGATTAATGAGCAAATTCCCTTTTTGGAAAGTGGTGGCACAGAGTTCCCCACATCATATGGACACGATAGTAAAACACGACGTACGGATAGGGTTAATCACCGTTCGATGAAAATGTGATAGTAGTAGGTAAGTTTAGAATATGGCGCGATGAATCCTTGCTGTGTGTATTTATGGAGTACAAGGGAGATTTTCCCAAGGCGCGGCATATTGGATTATCATTGGTGAAAAGAGGCTGGTGACGACCAAAGATGAAGTAGAAACAGGCTGTTATGAAAGGCCAAAAACAATTAGATATGAAATGGAGTGATGTCTCCGCCTCAGCAGCAGACAGATCTTCTTGGTTGTCTCTGATTGACTCAAACATCTCAAGACTTAGGAGTCTCTTTAAGTCTAAGGGAGCTTGGGCTAAATGAGTTTCATAGAGGCAACAGAATTGCATTGTCTTCTGTTCATATGGGTTGGACAAGCCATCCTTGCTTTTCACTGTGACAGACTCTATATAAGTTTTACAACTCTAGAAAGGGCCCTAGATGGTGCTCCCTTTCATTTTTGCTGTAAGTTGTAAATGAGGAAAAACGTTCCTCTTTACAGAGGTCTTTTGTTGCTATTTAATTGTTTTCAACTATCCTGTTTCATTTCTTTATTTTTTTTAATGCAATAAACTTTTAAGCTTGTCGTAATTGAACATTATGTAATTTGTTGTCATTGCTGTTGGCGTAATCATTTTAAAATGTTGTCATTGCTGTTGATGTAATCATTTTAAAATGTTGTCATTGCTGTTGATTAAATCATTTTAAAATGTTGTCATTGCTGTTGATGTAATCATTTTAAAATGTTGTCATTGCTGTTGATGTAATCATTTTAAAATGTTGTCATTGCTGTTGATTAAATCATTTTAAAATGTTGTCATTGCTGTTGATTAAATCATTTTAAAATGTTGTCATTGCTGTTGATGTAATCATTTTAAAATGTTGTCATTGCTGTTGATGTAATCATTTTAAAATGTTGTCATTGCTGTTGGCGTATTCATTTTAAAATGTTGTCATTGCTGTTGATGTAATCATTTTAAAATGTTGTCATTGCTGTTGATGTAATCATTTTAAACGTTGTTATTTCAACAGATTGTGGCAGAGAAACAGAAATTCAAGAAAAACCCTCACAATTATGCAGTCAAAAAATCTGGTCTACTTAAGGCAAAGGTAAGATTTCCCATATTTATTTATGCATTTTGTTTCTCTATGTGTGTATGGAAATGATAGTTTTACAGTTTTCTTCACTTCCAACTTTTCAGCCTCTTCCCCTGTTTTGTACTGTTGTGAGTAGCTAACCTTGTAGCGAGTTCTACTCCTTTCCTGTCTGATGTGTAATTTTTACTCTCATAGAAGGTGAAGGTACCCAGTTTTCTTTGCTTTCTAAAGCTCAAAGACGGAATGCATGAGTAATGGGTTTACTCTCAGAAAAGTTTTGGAGAGGGGAAAGTGGCGAGTAGCGCAGGGAGTTTGATGTGTCATCTTCTGTCGGTTATGCAAATGCAGTTCTTAAAGTGTGAAAAGTCTCACCATACTGTAAGTCAGCCCCCTTTTGGTGCACGACAGAATGGTGGAATCATAAAAAAGGTTAGCGAGATCACTGAACACGATAAGGACTAATAAACTATAAGAATCACAGAAGAATTAAAATAAAATTTTAATTGTTAGCCTTTTAGACCCATCACACCTCCTATCCCCACAAAGTACCACCAAGAACCAACAAAAGAAGATGCAAAAGAAGTTTCCTACCTTCTGTGATAAGGCTACTGTTGAAATGAACATTAATATACATTGCTTTTTGATTTTTGATCTATGCACATATGGTCGCTTTTAAGCACAAGGAGGCTATCCTGAAAAATGTTGTTTTGAGAAAATAGAAGGTAAAGTTTTTGCCCCTTGTTCAGTTCCTTTGAAAGACAAGGAGAGTTTTTTCTATAACCAAACAAATATACACACCGATGAAACCAAACTTCTCCTATTTGTAGGGCAATGCCCACTTTTGGTGTAGATCAAGATTTCTGGATACCCTCGAAATCTGGGTTAGCCCGCTTGTCGTAAAAAGCGACCGTATACAAATATATCTATATACTTTTTAACAGTCTGTGATAGATTCCTGCATGTTGTTTGAGGTACGCATCTGATGTGGCAAATTATATTAGTGTCAGCTTTTATTTTTTTCTTCAAACTGAAATTATTTTATGATAGTGATATACTGTTAAAATGTACATTCATCAATATGTTTTTCAACCTTCCCTATAAAGCCATCAAAAATTCACCCCGAGGGGACAATCAAGTAGTATCTTATCTGATGTCTTGTTGTACTGACAGTGTTTCCCCCCTTGTCTGTGGGTGGTTGGCGGGTGCTCTGGTGTGGTTTGCTCCATCTTTCCTATCAGACATCTATCGTCTTTACCTCAACTCCTTCTTTTTTGTGTTTGTTACTCTCTTGTAACACCTCTAATCTTCGGCACTTATATGACCTTATTGTGTTGCAAGTGCTGTAAAACTCTTACTAAAACTAAAAAACCCTTGTCTCATCGTGTGTGCAGGAGCAAGCAGATCTGGAGGGGGACCAGAGCGGGTCGATGAAACTTGCTCAAGAGCTGGAAGATTTAGAGGAGAGGGCCACCGAGCTGGATCGGAGGCGGTCCTCAAAGATCAACTCCATCAGGTTTGTGTTCTGCCGGAGGCTTTCCCAGTTCTCATTGTCCAATATTGTTGCATTGTGTGGATGTGATAGTCTACACAATGCTGACCCTCCCTCTACACAATGCTGACCCTCCCTCTACACAATTCTGACCCTCCCTCTGCCCGGCCCTTTTTCTTGTCTGGATAGGGTTGTGAAATGTCTGCAGTTTATTTAATTTATAGTTGAACCTGCTCTTCCGGCCACCTATCCAAGACAATCACCTGTACCAATGACCACTTCCCACTTCCCACTTCCCTCCCTTTCATAAAAAAAAGCTTTATAATGGCAGTGACCAAGAAGTCCACCTGTCTAAGACAACCACTTTTCTCTTCAACAACTGGTCATGGTTTTGGTCAGTTAAGACTGTTTTTTTTTCATATTTATGTATCACTGAGCAGTTAATCTGGCATTTTCTTTTTGTCGTACAAAGCAAAAGGTAATATCAAGTTTTGCATCTAACAGTTATATCTTTTGTAGTGCCATGAAGATTTTTCTGATTCCATGGGTAAAAAAAAAAAATTAAATTTGTATCTTGTTCCTTATAGCTACATTAACCAGCGAAACAGAAATCGCAACATGGTCGAAGCTGAAGATGCGTTCAAGGCTGAGATCGAAGAGATGCGTAATGCCACCGCAGATCCGTTCACTCGTAGACACTGTCGGCCTACGCTAGTCACAAGGGTGAGTTCAAATCTTTTTCGGTGACTGTGGAGTGACTTTGGAGATAAGATCCTGTAATTTATTCCCTATTTGGGGTGTCGCACTTGCTTTGCGATGTGTCCTTGCGAACGCTTATCGGTTTATCAATGCTTGGTTTTATTATAGCATTCATGAGAGGTTTCGTTTGAAGATTTTGGCTTTTGATGACATTTTCTTTCTGTCTCTGCAAGTGTTACATTAGCATAGTAGCGCTTTATGATATTTTGAAAGTATGTTCTATTGGCCTGGAATATTGTTTGAAAAGAAATCACTTAATGTATGTAGTGTTTTTTAGAGTAATTCTTTACCTGCACCCGTGTGCTGCCAGCAATGTTGAATCAAGCTGTCTCTCCCAGCGTCCAAATGCACACTCTATTTTCCATGACTGGTGGTGGAAAAAATAAGACTCTGTGAAAGAAGTGAACTTATTGCTTTTGGCTTATTTGAACACTGGTGAAAGGGAGTCCTTTGGCCGTGAACTGATGTCTTTGTTGGGGGGGGGGGGGGGAGGGGTTGCATTGAACCGTACTTGTTTTAAATACTCCAGTGTGCTGTGTCCACGAAGGAGTTGAAGAAGCGTGAGTCTGTCTTTGCTCTGACGAGTTGTGTTGACTCTTAGATTTGCAGTAACAGAAGCTAAGTCATACAACACTGACTGTAGTGTCTTTAGGCCATTCCCAAAGGGGGAACATTTCTCGTTCAAGCATAGTGAAATTGTGAATGGGCTGACTCATGTCACGCTCATAATTGTGCCTGATCTACAACAGGGAACTGCTGCTTTTTCTTTCCTGATCCTTACTATTGTCATTTTTCCTCTACTTCTTTCGTATGTTTGTCACTCTCTTGTGACCTGCTATTTTGGGGTGCCTGGATAGTCGAAGCAGACCTTGTGCTGTTGAAGCTAGAGAGGTGAGCAGTCTAAGTCTGATTCCCTGTAAAGACTTCTCTGTTGACACCCACCCCTTGGCGCTCATATATGACCAGCAGTTGCAATCGCCGTAAAACCCTCTACTATATATATATATATATATATATAAGTCATAAAAACAATGACTTTCCTGCATGATGAGGAAAAGGAAAGCAGACTGGAGTTTTGAACTGGCTTCAGGGCACCAGGGTTTTGCTTTCACTGGTTGCCAGTTTTATGAAATCAACTGTTGACTGATTGAAAGCTTATTTTCATCATTTGCCTATAGCGCATTCTATTATTGTTAATATTATTATTGTTATTGTTATTAATATTAATCAAGATTGAAAAAGAATATCCTTTTCCTTTTGCTTAATTGTTGTTTTCTATTTGTGTACATCGAGACCAGTGCTTGCCAACCTTGGCAATATCTCCCAATTGTGGGCAATTTTGAGATTTTGTTTGGTAATGGGGATCACCTGTGCAGTGACAGGCATTATTTTGTGCCTCATTTGAAACTACATGCGGGTGGGCGGTATGAAAATTTTAGCCTCTTAAATGTAGCAAAAGTGGGGGGCTGACTATGAGAAGGTTGACAAGCACTGGTTCAGACTGAGTGAAAGCTTATGTCCTGGTCGGACTGTGCTTCCTATCACTACACCTTGAATGAGAGCTTCTTGTCGTGTATTCAGAAATAGTGCTTCTGTATTAATACAGAGTGGGAAGAAATTCATTTCATCATATTTATTCTGTGATTTTTATGAAGCTACTTTCATCATATTTATTCTGTGATTTTTATGAAGCTTATTTCATCATATTTATTCAGTGATTTCTATGAATACATATATAAGATTACAGCTTATTTTTCACCTTATTTAGTCACGCTTTTTTTGAAAATTTAGTCTTTCGAGGAAATTGCTGCATTATTTGAATATATATTGCTTCGTAGTAGTATAGAATGAGTACATGCTTATTTTCATCGCTTTCCAGCAAGCCAGGGCAGAGGCAGAGATGAAAAAGGGCCAGGATGGAAATGCCAGTGTGAGTGAAGTGTTACACGTTGTGCTGGTGTTTTCTAGGTGGAAGTCATTGAGTGGGTCGTTGGCGGGTGCTCGGGTGTGGTTTGCTCCTTCTTTTGTATCCAACATCTATCGTCCTGATCTCTCCTCCTTTTTTGTGTTTGCTACTCTCTTGTAACACCTCTAATCTTCGGCACTTATACGACTTTATTGTGTTGCAAGTGCCGTAAAACTTTTACTAAAAAGAAAGAAGTCTTTGAGGTTGCTGTCTGTCTGTAGAGAATTCTTTGTGTCTGAAAGGTTGCTAGTGTTTGTCGGTTGATTTGACTCACGACTAATACTTTTTGAGATTTGTGAGCTTTCTCATAAACAACTGTTATTTGTTAAAGTGTTTTGTATTTTATGTTTACATTTACAAAATATTAAAGCGTTTTGTGCAAGTGTGTGCAGATAAAGTTAAAAATAAATAAAACATAAATTACAGAATCGCTGTGTGTCATATCCATGAGAAAATAATTATGTTAGTTTTTTCTTTTTGGGAAAATAGGGCAACTTTTTATTGGACCTGAACGAAGCAATAAACTTTGGACATCATCACTCTGAAACAAAATGTCTGCTCCTAAGACTATAGATGACAAAAGATCTTGTAGTGTTTTAGTGCCTGTAATCCGCAGCTTAAACTGTATGTTTAGCGGGTGGTTGAAGGGTGCTCTGGTGTGGTTTGCTCCTTCTTTCCTATCAAACACCTGTCGTCCTTAGCTCTCCTCCTTTTTTTTTGTGCTTGTTACTCTCTTGTAACACCTCTACTCTTCGGCACTTATATGACGTTATTGTGTTGCAAGTGCCGTAAAACACTTACTAAAACTGAACTAAAACAGCTGCTTGTATCTGTGTGCCCCAACAGGCAGTCAAAACGGCGGCCCCTGTCGATGCTTCCAGTCTCCCCGCTCTACCGGTGTCAAAACTGGCTCTCTCCGACCATGGGAAGGTGAGTGTTAGCTGTCCTGCAGGTTAGCCCTGTCCTGTCTGTGAGACTACGGAAGACAGTAGTCGGTTCTTTTGATCCCTCTGAAAGCCAGAGAGATGATGAGAAAGTGAGAAGATCATGGTAGCTGTTGTCTTGGGATTCGGTGTAAAAATGTGAAAAATCTTTCGATGCCGAGCAGAGAATCCTGGTTTGGTATGTGGTTGGCGGGTGTTCTCGTGTGGTTTGCTTTCTTCTTTCCTATCAAACATCTGTCGTCTTTATCTCCCCTTCTTCTTTTTTGTGTTTGTTGTTACTCTCTTGTAACACCTGTCGTATTCAGGCACTTATATGACCTTATTGTGTTGCAAGTGCCGTAAAACACTTACTGAAACAAAATAAAACAGAACACAGAGTCTGCACTTTTGATCCCCCTGAAAGCCAGAGAGAAATGAGAAGATGAGAAGATGATGGTAGCCATTGTCTTGGGATCATGTGGACTAATGTGAACATTTTTCGATGCCAGCCACAGGGATGCCAAATCTCCGGTTTTTCCGGTTTTGTCCAGGGTTTTTTTTCTCCTCCAAACCCTTGCAAAGGAAAGGGGAGGGTCAAGAGAGATGTTTTTGTTTGCTCATTAAAAAAACTTTACAAGGTTTGTTTTAGGTGAGATGTGATGCTCTGCTCATTTTCAGTTAATTTTTTTCCAAAATCATTTGGCATCCCTGCAAGCTGAGAATCCTGGTTTGTTATTGGATGTGAGCACCCTGAGGTACTCTGGGTAGGAACATTAATGTGTTTTTTCTCTCTGGTCAGACCTCATAATCTTCGGCACTTATATGACCTTATTCTGTTGCAAGTGCCGTAAAACTCTAATTTCTGATGTGAGTAATTGGGGCAGGGTGAAAAAGGTTTTAGGGGCATCCGGTCAGAGAAATTTGTGGTGAATTATCGTCGCTAATGTCTGTTCAAGATGGAGCACTTGAAAAAGTAAGACAAAATTATTATTTTACCACCAATGGGGGGCTCCAATTTTTGTCAAGTGTTGTAAGTTTAATCGTTGTTTGAAGACCATCAGGTTTAAAGTCCGTAATATTTTCATTTTTCCGGAGCACTGGGTAGAAATTGTCGAAAGTGTAGGAAGCAAATCTTTCATATGTATGTGCTGGCTGTCGGAGGTCACCACTGGTAACTAGCTGAGTCGATAGTGCCGTAAAACACCTACTCAATCAATCGATCAATCTTTTTCCCCAGCACTAACTATTATCATGTTGATGTTCTTTTATTTGCCTTATATAAGCTCTCTAATGTTTGATTTAGTGGTTGGAGGGCGCCACTGGTAGATCCTACTTCTTCTTCGTCTCTCTCTCTCTCTCTCTCTCTCTCTGTCTCTTTCTCTCTCTGTGTCTCTCTCTCTCTCTCTCTCTCTCTCTTTGTGTCTCTGTCTCTCTGTCTGTCTGTCTGTCTGTCTGTCTGTCTGTCTGTCTCTCTCTCTCTCTCTCTCTCTCT